CCGTGCAGCTATAAACGACTGTTAAATGGAATGATGAATTGTTGAAGGATTTTGAAAACGGAAAAAATGATAGTCATGCCGGCCCAGCATCCTCAACGTTTAAAAATGCACCGGCACGAAGTGGTTAATTAGGAATCAGAGACAAGTTGTAAGAGCGCAAACTGTCGTGGTGGCCGAAATAGTCTCGACTCTTGATCGACCCAGGATTAACCAGTCATGCAGGTACTGAAAGATGAGAACATCCAAACGACGAAGATAAGGCCCCACCGCTTGCACCACTCTGGTGAACACTCACAGTGCGGTGAAAAGCCCAAACAGGAGAGCGCAAAACTTGTAGGTCTGATCTCAATACAAGAAGCATAGAAATTGGCGATCGTCAGGATGAAAAGATACGTGAAGATAGGCATCCTTGAGGTCTATGGAGGAAGCCTGTGCCGGAATGGAAATTGAGTGAAGAACTGTGCGAAGTGTCTCCATCCGGAAGCGCTTGGGGCGAATGAACTGATTGAGCGGCCTTAGGTTGAGAATAGACCCTATTCAGGGCGTCTCCAATTTCAGTCACATTCCCCAACGTAGCATATTTATTTGAAAATGTTAAATTCAAAGAACCAGACTATATTCTACGTTTTCATTCCAACCCCCTGGTACCATCCCATTATGGGTTTAAAATTTATACTGTACGTTCAGGAATATGACTGAAATTGGGGGCATGGAGTGATGGAACTGGAACGATAGCCCGTTTCTGTAGTAGGGTTGCGATTTCTGCCTCGCGTTTGGACTGATTTATGGGTATTTGAGTCGGCCGCAGAACTGTTTTGGAGGGAGAGGCACTCGTGAACTCGAGACGATAACCGTAAAGTAGAGTATTGAAAACCCATCTGCCCGATGTTATCTCCCCCCAGAACCCTGTTAGAAGATGGCCACCAACGGGTTCGAGATTGATGACCGAAGGAGGGGTAAAGTAGTTGGCTACGCTGACCCCTGAAAGACTGCGGGGGCGGCGGGCGACACCATGCTGGGCACTGGAGGAAGCTGGGGCAGAGTAGCATGTCTGTTCCCAGGCAGGTTGCAAAGGTCAACGAGCTTGCCTAGGAGGCCCTGCAGGACGGCGCGTTAGAGGAGCAGAAAGATGTGGAGGTCTCGGGGGAGCCGAACGAGAAACACGGGGGCGAGAGTCAGTTGACTGACAAAAGGAGATCTTCCGAGCATTATCAATCTGCTTGACCTCACTTTTGAGGAGAGAAGTAACTGGCCGCAAAGATATCTTTAGCAAACAGAGGGAGGCTCTTGAGGGCAGAATTAACTGACTCGTGCAAGAGGGGCAAGTCTTCCAATGTGGGGAATATTCATAGCAAGAATAGGCGATTCCCTACGGGAGGCCGTAGCTCGAAGAGATACCCAGGCAAACAGCTCGAGCCCCGTGAGCAAGGTATCGTCGAAACAGGGAAAGGCCATAGTCACAAACTCAGGAGAAATATCAGAGCCCTCCTCACATGCCCGGGACAAAAATTCAGTGAGGAGGAGAAGAAAGGATACCCGAGTGAGCAGCACAGTCAATATCTTTTAAAGCTGACTCCATCCACTGAAGATTTTTATCTTGGAATACGTTGGAAGACTTGCCCATGTTCGAAAAAATCTTTTCTTTGACTGCGTCAGGAAACTCTGGCACCGAGAGATAGTGATCATAATCACCCAACGGGGACTTGAAAAAGTGGAGAGGACGGTAGCCTTAACTCCACTGCTTGGCCTTAGCCAGTTTATCCACAGCATCTATGCAAGAGCAGTCAAGGGGAAACTCCGGAAAGAGAAGAGAAGAGAAGATGATGACTCTCCCGGCAAACAACGCTTGAATGGACGCCCCCTGTCGTCAGTAGGTGACTGGGTAGGCAGCCCAGAACATGTATCACTTCTTACTGTAAAAGACATAGGCGAGATGCGGAGGGCGGAAGATCTTTCACCGAAAGCGGCTCATCTTCGTCCGGGGATTGGCCAGAGCCAGAAATATACGATAAAAGATCAGGGCCTGAAGCAAAGCCCGCCATACGACCATCATCCACTGTGGGCTGAGCCGGCCCCGTAGGGAGAGAGACACCTGAGACTCAGCCGAAAAGTTGCCCAAACAGGCTGGGGGCGGAGAACAAGGCTCCGGATCCGGATGTGTAGTAGCCGGAGGAGGAGAGGGATATTGCCGGACAAGTTCCGAAATGGACTCAAAAAGGGCCCATAGCGTATCCTTGGTAGACGGGGAGCTAGAGCCTCAAGAAGCACGATGTTTCTTCTTTATTTGTTTAAAAGAATGATGTGAGGAAGGTGAAGCCTCAGATGATTTGCATTTCTTCCCTGAGGAATTCCCTGACTCAGACTGCCAAGAAGATGGTTGGTCGGAAGGAGGCTTGGACTGCGTGTCCGAAGGAAGCGAGTCAGAGACAGCTGGTGAAGCAAGCCTAAATGTTCAGGGGGAGACGGTCCGGCAGGAGGAGGTGTCCGCGAGGCTACCACAGGATCCGACCCAGGTACCGAAACCGAAAGCAAACCCTGGGCGGGCCGAGAACGGGATGAACCCGCTAATTTCTTGGTCACCGAACCCGAACGAGAAGCCATAACTGAGGGTAGGTGAGAGGGGTAAAAAATTTCTGAGAGCAAGAAATATAAAGCCTGTTCAGCCGCAGCCTATTTAAGCACACAAGAAACCATCAACGTAAGGGTATACCAACTGCTCCCCAGACTAAGTGACGTAAAATGTGCAGTGGGAGGAGCCACACCTACATACCGTGTCAAGAGGAACCATCTGAACTACAGTGCACGCAACCAGCAAGGCAGTCCTATACCGTAGATAGGCAATCTGGCCTACTAGCAACACTCAACAGTGGGTGGGATTGAGCACGCCCCGGACTAAGGGCCGGGCGGATGGACTGAGCGGGCAGAGATGTGGAGGAAAGCCCGTAGGCGAGTGCAATGGCAGGGACAGCCAAACAATACCACGACCGCTTGTGGAACCCTGCAGTAAGGCGTTGCCAGACTGGACGGCAAGCCAAAGCAAGTAGCCCGTGCCACCTGTTTGGCGGATTCGCTTACGCCCCAGACGGCAGTAGAGGAGCCGGTAGGTTGCTGGGTGCTAGATGACGGCCCGCAGAGAGCACCTAAGATGCTAAGATATCCCAACTGGCATGACCAGACGGTAAGCCGAGTTACGCCCGCTGAAAAGCCATTGCAACTATAAGCCACTCAGTAGCGCTCTCGTGGGCAGACTCCGCCATGCCCCAGAAGGCCAGTAGGGGGTGCGTGGACGGGCCAAACACGCTCGAAGAAGCAGATCGACCGGATGTATCACCCCGTATCAGGGGACTGGCTGACAGACTGCTGCGAGTAGTGAAGAAACTCGAAGAGCAAACTCGCAATGTGGGTATCCTACGGTCGTACCCCGAACCGACAGGAAGGAAATAGTAAAACTACGCACTGTCCTATTTCCAAGGTTAGAAAGGACCGAAAATGCCGCACAACTTTCCTTACCAACCAAGTAATCCTGGGCCCACGAACGGGCAAATACTGTACTCCGAGTGGGGTTAGAAGCACAACCCTGACACTTTCCCTCTCTAGAGCTAATCTAAAAAAGAGAGAAAAGCACAGCCAAAGAAAATGCTGAAATTTCCGGCAAAACCCAACAGGAATAAGAACAAAGAAATTCAGAAAAACGAGACAACCGCTCTCAAGAAACAAAAAGCCACAACTGCAGGCAAAGCTAATCAACATGATCAAGGTACATGTAAATACAAACAAGAAATAACAAACAGAATAAAAAAAGGGAAACGAATATAATTTATTCTGAATCCCAAAATATATACAAGAATAAACAGTGCCACCTAGGCGGAGTCTGAAAGGTCAACCAAAACAGTCACAGGGCTGAAAGGAACGGAAAAATTAAGAATAAATAATGTCTTAAGGTTCACAAGAGCAAGAATGAACAGATAAACAAGGTGATCGAGAAATGACACCGAAACCACAGGTTGCAAAGGAAAAACTCTCAAAATTTCAGCCTAGCGCCGGACAAAAACTCGTCTGATAGTAACTGCACTAAGAAAAAGAGGAAAAACATGGCGGCCGCCTTCGCACAAGTCAAACGAATGAGGGTGCTGCTGGTGATCAAGAATTTAGTAAATGGAAGTAATGGACTAGGAAATAATGCATACATATTGGTAATCTGCATAGACTGCAGGCACGTACACTACACAAATTCAAATTTATGGAAGTCACAGAGATATGTACATGTACTTACCTTGATTTCCAAGTTTGTCAATCAAGAACCCTGCTGCAATCACAACAATGGCATTTCTGTCCGATCGAAAAAAGAGAAGAAAAGAACAGACCACAACATAGACAGGTAGACATGTACGTACATCGTACAGTATGTTGACAGTGTATTGGTCATTTTAAAGTACATGTATTTTCATACACATGTCCATGTACAGGTACATGGACACAAACATGCCCATGCAACATCTTATTAGATCAAAAAGCTCAGCTTACAAATGAATTTTTTCCTGTTTTTGCTCTAGAAAAACTGTTCAACTCCCTTCGTAAAAGTTCCCTGTCACAAATTATGTGTTTCTCCAGCACATGATATCTCGATCCATATTGACACCAATGCAATAACATTTTACCAACAATATTTTAACAGAAGACAATTTTTTTCGGGGGATGAATCACTTTTCAAAATGCTTAATAAAGGACTGCGCATACAAGTATGGATAATTGAAAAAACTTACGTCCATGCATAGATTGCATAGAGCAGATTGTACTGGTTAGGCGTCATGCCTAGTCCTTCAACACAGTCACTGCTATTGCCATATGTGGTTGCATTAATGCACGTTATGTTCTGTGGAGTATAAAAAATTAATATTTGTTGGTTACTGCTGGGTTGGGTTGAATTGGGTTGGTTGGGCAGGATTGAGCTGGATTGGGTTGGACTGGATTGGGTTGGAGTTGGGTTGGATTGGGTTGGAGTTGGGTTGGATTGGGCTGGATTGGGCTGGATTGGGCTGGATTGGGCTGGATTGGGTTG